AGCTCCGGCCACAAAGGCGCTTTTCAGCCGCCCCGGCTCAGGGAGAGGAAAGGGCAGAAAGCCGCGCCCCCCATCCCTGCTCCGTCCGGCTAGGTCCCCTCCCCCCGCATGGCCAGTCTTCCCAGTTCCAGCTAAGGCTCTGCCAGTCCGGAGAGCCCCCATCTCTCCCATCTCTGCTCTAAATGCAGCCCAGAAGGGCGTGAGAATAGCACCTGAGAATAACGGGATCCTTGCGCGGATCTGGGGAGCCCCCTGCAGGGTGAGAGTGGAGAAGAGGAAAAGAAGCTGCGGCTGTAAGCCTGCACCTGGGGGAGTGAGACCACAGTTATCTTGGCCGCTCCAGCCTGGGAGCGGGAGACCTTGGCGCGCACCATAGCAGGAACACCGCGGGAGGAGGCGCAGAGGGACAGCTTCCTTTTTTTCTTTCCCCTCCGACTTCTCACCTCGGACTTGGTTTCCTCCTAACAGAAGGACACTTTTCCCCCTCTCCTTCTCTAGTCGCCTCCACCTCCGCAGAGTTGGGGGGTGGGGGAAAAACAGGAAAAGTGGTAGCTCCTTCCAACTTTGTCGTTTCGTCCCCTAAGGAGGCCCCGAGGCCCTGACCTGCGGGGGCAGCAGCCCAGTGCAGAGCCAACTCAATGGAGGCCTTTTGCAGCCAGGGTGTGGGAGATAAGTAAGGCTGAGGGGGCTCCCAAGCGTCGGAGCCCCTCCTGAGCCTGTCCCTTGTTCTGCCCACTCTGCTGCAGGTGGCAACCAGAGAAAAGGGTCACAATGTTCCATGGCCAAGGAGGAAAGAAGAAATGCCCCTTTTCCAATCTCTGGGTAGGAGGAAGGCTTCAGGGCAGAAGCAAAAGGAATTCTTTCTCCCCTGGACAGGTTTTCCTAACAAAGTAACCTGGAAAACTATGGCAATTAATCAGAGGAAATCCGTACCCCTCCCTCTCCCCTCACCTCCCCACTCCATACACAATTAGGTGGTGTAATGGAAAGTATATAGGGCTCAGAATCAGGAGTCCTGAATTCTAGTCCCAGCCATGCCACTTTAAATTGTGAGAGTTTAAATTGCTTTTCCTCCTGGGGGAAGTCCAGCTCTCAGATGTAAAATGAGGGTGGCAGTCAGGGTGGGGAGGGTTGGAGGAATGTGATCTCCCAAGTTTTCTTTCAGTTCTAACATTCAAGATCACTGGCCAGGCTGGATGAAGTGGCTCACACCTGTAATCCCAGCACTTTGGGAGGCCGAGTCGAGAGGATCCCTTGAGCTCAGGAGTTCAAGACTAGCCTAGGCAACATGGCAAGACCTCATCTCTACAAAAAATAAAAAATAAATCACTGGCCAGAGGTGGTCCTTCTCTTCCAAGGCATTGCCCACCTCACTCTAGGCTGATTCAGTTCCAGTGCTCCAAAATGGTAGTTGAATTTATCTTAATTGTGTAATTCCAAGGAAAGCCCCTGAGATAGGCAGAGCTTGGAAGACTTAGGAGCCCTCTGATTCTCAGGTGGGCCCATCTGTTATTCTCACTGAGGATGACTTTTTACCCCAAAATTGTCATTTAGACCCTAGGATAGCCCTAGAATAGATGTGTCCTGGTTCTAGGACATGTTTCCCATGCCAAAAGCAATTTCTGCCCAGCCCCTCCTCAGGTACATCGTCTGGTGACCTGACCCTTGGCCACCCTGTCCCAGCCCTTTTCAGTCTCTTCTTTTCGGCCCACAGAGCTTTTCTACAATCAGGTCAGGAGCCAGGCTTCTGTCTGCTGCCTAGCCAGCTCCTGGCCCCCAGCTCACCCCAGCCCTTCCTGCCTAGCTGGGTGGCTGACCCCCGGTCCACGCCTCAGCCATTTCCCGTCTCGCCTGCCGCCATCCTCCTTTCCCCGCCCTCGCTGCCTCTCCCAGCTTCACTCTCACTAGTCAGTCCCTCCTCCCCTCCCCATCCCAGACTCTTCTAGTCAGGATCCCTCCTAACCACTCTGTCCAGCCAGTAAGGATCCCCCCCCCCACCCGGGGCTGGTGACAAGGAAGATCTTTAAGGCTAAAGTCTCTGTAGGTGAAGCTGGACTCACCCTCCTGGGCTGCCACAGGAAAACGGAGGAGCTGGCAGTGCCCTGGCTCAGGTAGGGAGAGGCCCTCCTTACCTCGGTCATCAGACGGTCCGCACCACTGTTCTCCTCATCCTTGAAGATGATGTCGGGGTTGTAGTTGGGCACGAGGTCCCGGAAGCGCTCAGAGCCCCTTGCCACCTTCCCCTCGGCAGGCCCACTGGCGCCCAGGGTCCGCTCGGGCACGCCGGGCACAAATTGCTTGTAGAGTAGCGGCACGAGCTGCTTGCGCGCATAGCGGCGCCGGCCAACCGGCCCCCGGCCCGGCCCGCAGCTCTGGGCTGGCAGCGCCAGAAGTGCCAAGCAGCACAGGGGCAGCAGATTGGTCAGGAGAGCCATGGATACAGCGGACCTGGGCCAAGAGCGAGCGTTCCTGTCCTCACTAACTCTCCTGTCAGTTAGGCATCTCCACAGGCACCAGAGAGGGCAGCAGGCAGAGCTGCCCCCAGAGTGCCCTAGAGTTCTTGTGGCTCAGTGCACCTGGCTGCTGCTAGCTCTGCCCACGTGCCCCCAGGGGGGGGGTCGTCTAGGACCTGCTACTGACGAACCATCATAGCAGGGAAGGGGGGTCGTGGGTGAGTGCCAGCCCAGCCCGTCTCTGCTGCAGGACTCTGGTGCTGCCAGAACGCCCGGACTCCGGACTCCGCCTTAAGTGGCCCCTGGCCCCGCCCTCCGCCCTTCTCCCAAGATCGTCCCACCCCCTCTCACCCGGGCGGGGGATCTAGCCGGTCACTGCTGGTCCATTTTGCGACTGAAGTGTGTCCCATCCTGGAAACCAGGCAAACACCTGCCTAGGAAATCCTTGTAGCTTTACAGTCCTTGGCTGCCTAAACATCCTTCTATCTCCAAGCCTAAACTTGGAACCATACCACCGTCCTCTGATACTCGAATTGGAATTTTTGCTCTCTCAAAGCCTACCCTGGCAGGCCATGCCCTCCGCTGTCATCCAGGAAGTATGGGTTCCAATTTCTGCCCAAGACCAGCCAAGCCCTTTGGGCAGACAACCAGAGCCTCCCTTCTCTGTGGTCCTCCCCAGATCTCCCCAACTTCCATCTCTCCTCACACTCAGCATTAAGCAGGACTGGGAGGTGAGGATACCAGGGGCCCATTTCTCTACTAACTTTACAATCTCCTTTGGAACTTCCCCAGAACCAGGGACAGAGCTTGGTACTTATTGTCTGGTTTAGGACTTCCAACTTTTTTCCCCTTCTCTTCTTTGCCAGGCATCTAATAGCTGCTGCTTTTCAAATGAATAACTTGTCGGTTGGAAGCTGCTGAAGGGCAGTGGACATTCAGAAGTCTTTGTAAGAGGTGAGGATTGCTTCCCTTAACCGTCCATCTAGGCACTTCTCCAGCTTTCTCCCTCTCTGGACTCCTCGGGCTCCATTTTCAGCCACTCAGATCTCATCTCAGAGGCACCACATCCAATTTCTTTTGTTCAGAAGTCATTTCTTCAAGAAGCCTTCCTTGATGTCCCAACACTGCCCACCTGTGTTCCCTCAAGAACCAGTACTTAACTGCAGTGGTAGAACAGTATTAGAATTATTTGGCACCTTACTAGACAAAGCAATCTTAAGCACACACATATTTATCATGTATCTCCAAGGTTAAGTGCCTACTCTACAGAAGGGTGCTCTGCAAGTATTTGTGGAATCTACACTTTGTGTTTCATACTCACTCTCCCCTAACCCCACTCTATGGCTAGTACTCATAGCAACTTAGCGTACATTAGAAAAAAACCAGGCCAGGCACAGTGGCTCACTCCTGTAATCCCAACACTTTGGGAGGCTGAGGCAAAGACTGCTTGAGGCCATGAGTTGAAGACCAACCTGGTCAACATAGTGAGACCCCATTTCAAAAAAAAAAATTAATTAGTGGGGGATGGTGGTACATGCCTGTAGTCTTAGGTACTCAGGAGGCTGAGGAAGGAGGATCACTTGGGTCCAAGAGTTCAAGGTTGTAGTGATCTAAGATCATGCCACTGCACACTAATCTGGGTGACACAGTGAGCCCCCCCCCAAAAGATGTCTGGGTGTCGTGGCTCACCCCTGTAATCTCATCATTTTGGGAGGCCAAGGCAGGTGGATCACTTGAGCTCAGGAGTTCAAGACCAGCCTAGGCAACATGGCAAAACCCCATCTCTACTAAAAATACAAAAATTAGCCAGGCATGGTAGCATGTGTTTGTTGTCCTAGCTATTCTGGAGGCCGAGCTGGAAGAATGGCTTGAGCCCAGAATGCGGAGGTTGCAGTGAGCTGAGACTATACCACTGCACTCCAGCCTGGGTGATAGAGCCAGATCTTGTCTCACAAGAGAAAAAAGAAAAGAAAAAAGCACCCCTTCCTCAAGATGCCTGACTTTTATGAGAAAACTATCATAGTAACTATCCATACAATGACTATGAGGTGAATGGTGTCCCTGGAACTTGTGCAATACACAATCTGTATAACTCTAAGTTTTGTGCTCTTACCACCAGCATAGCACATGGGCTCTTCAAGAAACTGATGGCCTCTAGTAAAAAGCTAGGTTCTTCTCTCAGGTAGGAAATGAAAATCCTTGTCAGCCAGCCACTTATTTTACTCTATATCCAATAGTTAAGCCAGGGAGGATAGGGCTGAAGGTGTGAGTGTACCCGGGGAGGTTATCCTACTCCTATGCCCATGTCCTAAGGCCATGGATATAAGGAGTCAGGGGACAAGCCAGCTTTAAGCAAGGCTGAGGATGGAGGAGTTTTCCACTGCCCAACTGCATGGCCTAACACCAGATCCAAGTCCCCAAAGGATGCTAGTAATATAGATGAAGGGGAAGGAAAAGGATGGTGGGCAGGACCCTTCTGCTTCTCTTACTGGGCAGACTCAGGACTGGTGGGAGCAAGGCTGTTCAAATACACACAGAGACAGGCGCTTTAAAAAAACAAAGCAAATCCTGGGATCAACTTTATTGCTGATGGGTGAAGCCTCCTCCTATCCCCTTAGTCTTTCAGGTGGTCCAAAGCCCCTCCAGGATAGCACAGTGCTTAGGCTCTGCTGGGCCAGAAGCAAGGGAAACAATCTATCTCCCAAGCCTGGCCTGGCCCAGTCCTTTCCCTGCCCCCACCCCACCCTATTGCACATCAAATCATGTAAACATGGCTATGGGCATGGCCCAGAACAGCAGTGAGGCAGATTGATGTGTAAACAGATTTGGGACCAGGGGCTAGACCCAGTCACCCAGCTCTACCCCATGCTGAGGCCACAGTTAAGTATGGAAAAGCAGGAGGTCCTGGTCCCAAACTCTGGCTCAGATTATGCAACAGTGCAGATGGCTCTGCTCCCCTCTGCCACCCACCCTCTCAGATTCCAGGTCCTGAGGTCCAGCTAGCCTTGGGCTTCCCTCCAGGCCTAGGCAGCAGATGGCAGTGTCCAGTTTTCTCCCTCCCACCCCCAGCTGGAGGTCACTGGTGCTGGGTCTTCCTAGATGCCCGGGGGAAACCAGAGACGGGCAGTGGCAGTCTGTCCAACCCTGGAGAAGAGGAGGAGATGGGCAGTCAAAAGCAGGTCAAAGGTCCATTCCGTTAGGGACCAGACAACTAAGCCACAGAATGTGTGGATGAGGTATGTTACCCACAAAGCAGGAAGCACACCCTCTCCCCTGCTGGGGTGACGGGGTGACCCGTGATCCAGAGTGTCCTAGATAACTACCACCCCCCAACAGCCTGCACCCTCACTCCCTCTCACCGAAGGCCCGGATCAGCTCTGCCCGCACAGCTGCAGTGAAGGTCTTCACCAGACAGAGTGTAGTGAGGCCTGCAAAGGCTGCGTTGTAGAGGAACACAATGTAGAAATTGCCCAGCCAGTTGAAGCGTCCAAAGTCACCCAGCAGGTCAAAGCGAGTGAGCCCTGAAGTACAAAGGCCAGGATGAGAGGTGGGCTCTCCAGGCCCTTTTCTGCTACCAGTCCAACTTTGTGCTGCCTCCTGGTGGCCACATTTCAACACTGCAACTGATAAGTTGGCCTCTCCCAATTCTACTTGGCAAGCTGACTAGCAGTTCGGGACTGTTCAAAGTGTCAGCAGCTAGGCTTGCTTCAGCTTCGCTTCCAGAGTCTGGTATCTTCTCCTCCAGTGAGGGCCTCCTCTGGCTACTGGTGTTCCCAGGAACTCCCAGGGCCTACTACTTGTTCCTGGGCCTGGAACAAGCAGTTCACCAAGTTTTTTTAGTAGACAGAACAGTGTGGTTGCTGAGCGCTCAGACTGATCAGGCTGCTTTGGTTCATATCCCAACTCCACCCCTAACTAGCTGTGTGATCTGGGGCAATTTCCTTAAATTTTCTGTGCCTCAGTTTCCTAAGAATTAAATGAGACAACACACATAAAGCACTGTCTCTGCCAGGCACTATTCTAACATTTACTGGGCTCCTCATAATACCATCATAAATCAAAAAACTCTGCTCCCCACCTGTAAATATTCTTACCTGCATCCAACCTAAAGGAACTAACTGGAAGACCCACAAGCCTACTGTCTTACAAATTCTCCTGGCATAAATACAAATGGTAGAGTGGAAATAATATAACGTTAAGAATTAAACAGAGCTGTTTTTTGTTTTGTTTAATTTGGTTTTGTCTTAAGACAGGGTCTTGCTCTGTTGCCCAGGTTGGAGTGTAGTTGCACAATCTTAGTTCACTGCAGCTTCAAACTCCTGGGCCCAAGCAATCCTCCTGCCTCCGTCTCACACATAGCTAGGACTATAGGTGTGCTAATTTAAAAAAAAAAAAAACACTTTTTTTTTTGGGGTAGAGATGGGGTCTCACTATGTTGCTCAAGCTGGTCTAGGACTCCTGGCCTCAAGTGCTCCTCCCACCTTGGCCTCCCAAAGTGCTGGGATTACAGGCGTGAACCACTGTGCCTGGATCACAGCTGATTTCTTTTTTTTTTGTTCTGAGACAGACTCTTGCTCTGTCACCCAGGCTGGAGTGCAGTGGTACCATCTTGGCTCGCTGCAACCTCCACCTCCCAAGCTCAAGCAATTCTCATGCCTCAGCCACCTCCCAAGCTCAGCAATTCTCACGCCCCAGCTGGGATTACGGGCATGTGCCACCATACCTGGCTAATTTTTAAATTTTTCATAAAGATGGGGTTTCACCATTTTGGCTAGGCTGGTCTTAAACTCCTGGCCTCAAGCCGATCCGTCCACCTTGGCCTCCCAAAGTGTGGGATTACAGACGTGAGCCACCAGGCCTGGCCCCAGAACCGATTTAAATATGAAATCACATATAAAACACAGAGAGTGATGTGGTATTTAGGGGGAGGTAGGAGGGCGGTTGTTACCTCTGCAGCTCACATACTACCTTGGGGTCAACTAGTTACATTCTCAAACTTTTTTTTTTTTTTTTTTGAGATGAAGATTTGCTCTTGTTGCCCAGGCTGGAGTGCATGGCACGAGCTCAGCTCACTGCAACCTTTGCCTCCTGGGTTCAAGTGATTCTCCTGCCTCAGCTTCCTGAGTAGCTGGGACTACAGGCATGCGCCACCACGCCTGGCTAATTTTGTATTTTTAGTAGAGACGGGGTTTCTCCATGTTGGTCAGGCTGGTCTCGAAATCCCAACCTCAGGTGATCCGTCCGCCTCGGCCTCCCAAAGTGCTGGGATTACAGGCATGAGTCACTGCACCCAGCCACTCTTGAACTTTTTAACCAGTTAATTATAGATATAGCTCTTAAGGCAGGAGAAGGAATGAGTATATTATCTGACACCCCAGTGTAGAGAAAGCACTAGCCTGGGGTTCAGGAGACAAGGGTCCTAGACTGACTTGACCTTGCCTCAAACTAGCTGTATAATCTGGGTCAATCAGGTAGCTTCTCTGTTTATCATCTTTCAAACAGGAACATTTACTAGATTACTCACCCAGGAGAAAGATTTAGAAAAAAGTGTGCTCCCCGACCAAAAGTAGAAGTAAATGAGAGAGGCAGTAGCAAATGTAAAAAGTATGTACTTTGCAGCAACAGTACCCTGAAGCTCAGTGTAGGCACTTTACAGAGCCTCGCTTTCCTCATCTGTATAATGCGGATAATACCTACTCACGGGTTTGTTGTGGGAATTAGAGGAAGCATGTATATAAAGTGCCTGCTTTACATCAGTAAGTACTCAAAAAAATCCAATTCCTTTATTTCCTCCTTTCAATACTTACCTAGGGTTCGAGAGAAGACAGGAAGTGCTGAGCTTAGGACCAGGAGACAGACACAGTTCCCAATTATCTGGGTGGAAACAGGGAAAGGAGTGGTGAGGGTGGAAGAGCTGCAGGCACCTAGTGCCCATCCACACCCCACAGGAGGCTTCCCTTACTCCCTCCCAGCTACCTGTGTCATGGCGGTGTCATGCCATCTGGGCCGCAGGCTCCGGAAGAGTGGAGAGCTATAGAAGCCCACAACTGAGGACACCATTAGGTAACTGCCACTGCATTAAGGAAGAACTGGCTGGCTCCTAAGAATTAATAACTCATCTCAAAGGGAACAGAGCTCTCTCTCAGCCCACTTCTTATTTATTTATTTATTTATATTTATTTATTTATTTTTGAGACAGGATCTCACTTTGTCACCCAGGCTGGAGTGCAGTGGTGCGATTTCAGCTCACTGCAGCCTTGACCTTCTGGGCTCAAGCGATCTTCCCACATCAGCCTCCCACATAACTGGGAATGCAAGCATGCACCACCACGCCCGGCTAAGTTTTTGTATTTTTTGTAGAGACCGGGTTTCACCATGTTGCTCAGGCTGGTCTTGAAATCCTAAGCTCAAGAAATCCACCCGCCTCAGCCTCCCAAAGTGCTAGGATTAGCACTGTGTGAGCCACTGCATCCGGCCTCTTTTTTATTTTCTTCTGATCAGATTCTACTGAACCACCAGCTCTCCTTTCAAAATTAAGTATTTTCCTTCTTTCTGAACCCGAGGTTAATGAAAACTTGTCCCATTTCCCATCAGTGTTGCTCAGAGTCCCAAAGGAGACAAAGTCCAAGAAGTGCTGTCTAGAGTCCCAGGAGACAGGTTTTTGTATTCCAGAAGGATACAAGATGAGTACAACCTGAACGACGGCACCAAAGGAGCCCAGCTTGGAGAAGGAGACCTGGCCTAAGGAGGCACCCTGAGGAGTGGGGCAGTGTCACTGTGAGCATTCCCCACCATCAGCACTACCCGGCACCCAGCCTTCCCACTGTCCTCAGCTTCTGCCTCCTCTCCCCAGCTGTTCTTAGGCCCTCCCCAAAGGATATGGTGGGAGGGCAGCCTGGTACCTGCATGCCTCGGGGCATGGCAGCCTCATCGATGAGCAGCTCCAGGATGTGGATGGCCACAATGAGCACAGACAGGCCCTGTGTGAGGCAAGCTCAGACTCCCATCCTACCCCAGACCACAGCTCGACCCAGAGCTAAAGGAATGGGCAGAGACTCTGGTCCAACATTTCCAGTTTCCAAGACTAGCTCCACTTCCAATGAGCTGTATGGGACCTCATCAAAGCTGTTATTAGCAACAGAGTGCCTTTGAGGACATTATAAGATACATCTCCTCTAGGTGGATGGATTGCAAAAAGGATAAATAGGAAAAGGCATCTCTCTTCCTCCAACTGATAAGATATATTCTTGAGTCCATAGGGGAATCGACTGCTTATTCTCATGCCAGGGCAAACCTGCACAACTACTCACTGGCCCTGTGTGACCCTGGGCAAGTCACTCAACTCTGTCTCTTCATCTACAAAATGAGGGTTGATGTGCTCAACATTTGTGTTCAGCACAGGCAGGACATAAAAGCAGGCACTCAGTGAGAAGCAACCACTATTACTGATGATAACCAGGTCCCCTCATCGCCTCCCCTCTCCCTGAGAAGGCCTCGAGTACTGAGAGTCTACTCCCCACCTCTAGGGCTGGTATACCCACCGTCAGCACCAGCAAGCACAGCATAGCCAGGGGGTAGCCCAGGTTCCGTTGCCAGGCTGAAGCCTTCTGCCGCTTCTCTGTGCAGGGATGGGAGGCTGTCAGCAAGCACCTGGAACCAGGGGCTACTCTCCTTGGGGAAACCCAGGTATCCCAAGCCCTACCAACCCACATACCCAGCAGGACCCTCTGTGTCTGCAGAGCCAGGAGCTGTCTGTGTAGCAGCTCCATGTCTAAAGGCAGCCAGCAGGAAGTAGGATCTGAGGGCAGAGAAGATGGTGTTGCTCCCAAGTTGGGCAGTCTCTGCCCAGGCCAAGCCCACCACCCCATCAGGGAAGAACCGCAACTCACTACAGATCCTGCGGGTCAGGGCTGCCTCCTCAAAGGCTGAGCAGTACAGCTGCTCCTCCAGGTCTTCCAGCAACTTGGGGCAGGGGAAAGGAAGAGACTAACTTTTTTCAGAGGCTCCCTGACCCAAAGGCCCCAGGAGAACCCTGTTCTTCCCAGGGCTCCGTAGTCTCAGGCCTCCCCCAAACCCTCATTCACCACCCTGTGGCCCGCAGCTTTGCTCAGTCCCTCCCAATTGCCCTGTATTCTGCCCTGCATGTCTGGTGACCAGCTCTGCATGATAGGGGTACAGGATACAGGAACCAACAAAGGCTGCAGCCCTCTGCAAGTTGTGCACTACACAACCATAGGGTTGTTTCATTGTTTGGTTCCAGCTCTGCAGGAAGCTCACCCTGCAGGATCAAAGAGCAAGGAATACCACATACCCGGGGCTTGACCAGCAGCTTCCCAGTGACGGAGAACATGCGGGCGAGACCCAGTGGAGTACACACTGTGAGAACAAGAGCCAGTCACCTGCCAGACCCTGCTCTCCACCCCTTGCCTAACATGCCCCTCCATTCCCCCTCCTTCCAGCCTGGTTACTCTGGTCCAAGGACCCTACCCATTCCCTCCCAGACCCTGTACACTCACCCAGGAGTAGCAGAACCCCAAGGAAGGAGATGCATGAGTAGAGGTAGGGGAGATAGTACTCCCAGAAGTCTAAGGATAAAAAAAAAAGAGGATGTCAGCTCATCTCTTCTTGCTTACTGGAGGCTGACAGGCCTCAGAGTCTAGACAAGGGCACAGTCCCCACAGCTGTTAGGCAAGTAATACAAATGAAGAAAGCTGGCCAGCATCAGCAGAAGAGGGAATGGCAGGGCCTATAACAAACTGGAGATCCTAACCCCTAACTAAAGGGTATAACTGCTATTTGGCCTCCATCACCAGGGACTAATGTAGCCAGATCTTCTCCTTGTCAAGCAAAGTTAGATATCTAGATGTTAATATGAAACCTCCCAATTTAAAATGTTAGCAACTGAATAATACATATTTTAAAAACCATTGCATAGGCCAATGAAACATTTCTGCAGATTGGATTTGGCCAGATGTCTATCAGTTTGAAACTTCAGTCAAAGGGAGAAGGTGCCAACCTTTTCCACTTTAGTAGGTTATAGTCTTTCCAGGCAGGTGGACATGGGCCAAAAGCCATGTCCACACAGCCTGGAGGAAGCTGGGCCACTCACCATAGAGTGACTCTCTGCTGGCCTTGTTGTTATCCACAATGGCTGACGCCACCCACACCATACCTAGCACCAGCAGAGTGAGGAGCATCAACATCACCACTGTCTCATAGACCCGGCCCAGGACACCCTACGGAAGGAGGCAACAGGTGAAGGAGGTTAACATCGGGCAGTGTGGGGATGGAAAGACATCAGAGATGGTGGCCAGCCTGCGGGAACCAGAGAGGTCTGGATTCAGGAGATAAGAGAGAGGGTTTTCCTCTTATTCTGCTAAGTTGCTCTGTCTTCCCACTCCCCAGTCTAAGGTCACCCCACATACCAGGTGCTCTTCATTTGCATCTCCTTTTCCCAGACCCATTCCTTGTCGTTGTCTGCTCCGGGAGGCTGACCTCTGAGGTCTGCATCCCACAAGCTCTTTGCCCTCTAGTTTCGCATCCAACAGGAGAATGGAAGGTAGAAAAGAGGTGAGGGTATGTTTCCTGTGAGTCCTCCCACGTCTGCCACCATGGTTTTGGCAGTAATTATGACACAAAGACAACAGCTCCTCTCTGGGCAGCTTCACATCCCTGGTTTCAGCTATTAGTGGGTTCTAGAAACTATTTCCTCCCTTTGTCTCTACAGGCCTAAGGGTGGTAATGACTTCCTACTGTCACTAGAGCCTCAAACTTCCTTTAACTAAACCTCTGCAAATAGCCTCTTTATTAAAATCTCTTCAGTTGAACCACGTGTGTGGAATTCCGTTTCCTGCCTGCATACATATCCCCTACTTACCTTTCTGGAGCCAGCAAAGCCCTCGGACTCAGTGAAGAAATATGCAAAGGGCATGAGGAAGATGAGGGACAGGTTGGAGAAGAGAAAAACAAGGTTCCAGAGGCCTAGAGCAAAAAAGGAAAAGCAGAGATGGTCAGTAAAGGGAGGGGCAACCGACAGGAGACTGACCATTTGCAGGAGAAGCGGAGAGGGAAGGTGCGACACATGACTGATTGGCCCACGGCTGCCTGAGTCTGCCCGACTCTATCTGCTCTCTGCTCCCTATCCCCACCCCAAGCCGCCTCTAGGAGCCACAAACCATGGATTAGGGAGCCGTTGAGCCACTGGATGTAGTAGTTCCGAGGCAAGGAGAGTAGCACCTCATTGCTGATGATGGAGAAGGGCAGGAGCAGGACAGCACCCAGGGCAATTGCCAGGGTAAAGGTGCACAGCTCGAGCCTGGGCAGAGAAGGGGAGAGTGTCCTTGCTTAGCTCAGCACTCACTACACTGTGCTGGAGAAGTTCCATTTGTCCTGAGGGCACCTGTGGCTTCCAGAACCAGCTGTAGCAATGACAGAGCTAAGGAAGGAGCCGTCCAGCTGGGGTTCTACCCACTGCCGGCTCGCTCTAGCCCTTTACCTCCAGGGAAGCCCCAGCTCATGGGATGGGCACAGCTTCGGGCATTCATGGGAAGCCCGTCACCTGCCATGTCACATACCCAGGCTGTCCCCAGGAATGTGGTCCTCCCATACATGCCTATAAGTTATGCCAGGTATGATGCCAAAGCTAGGGGGCCTGGCTTCTCTTCTTTGCTCAGGGATATGGATTTCTGAGCTTACCTCTTTTTGCCCAGATAAGCACAGGGTCATCCTATGTGGCTATGCCCTGCACAAAGGCATGAGGGCAAAGGAGGACAAGGGGAAACTGAAACCTAGCTTCATAGCCAAGGTCTATGCCCTGGGCTGCATACCCTGAAGAGGGGCACTTCTATCTCGTTGGTCCATCAAGGGTGGAGGGCTACCTTCTGATCTACTAACTCAGAGGAGTCATCTCTCTCTCTTTCTCTGTATGTGCTAGTGAACATTGGCAGCCTGGAATATGGGCCTTCCTCTCAGAACCAAGCATGCCCCTTCCTCAGGGGTTCCCATCTTCCCCACACCCTGCTCTTTTTCTATCAATCTGCATCCCCACTCTGGTCACTGGGAGGTGAAGCCAAGCTGGAGCCATTTCCGGTGACTCAGGCCCCAGTGGATGTTCCTGGCCATGAGGCTCCCACAAGCTCCTGGCCTAACCAGGAAGACAGGAACAGCAGCTTTTCTGAGCGTCCCCAGGGTGAGGTAAAGCCGGAAACCAGAAATGGGGTGGAAACAGAAACTCTCTCTTCACCGTGTGAGACTTCCCCCTTCTCCCTCCAGCTCTAGGCCTCCCTAGATCCCAGTTCCTAAAGACCACTGGTGTTAGGTGCTGAGGCAGGGACACTTACGCAATCTTGTTGACTGTGGCATCTGCATCATCCACTGTAAGAGACAGAGGCACGGGGAAGAGGCAGGACATCAGGGGGCAGCTCTGAGGCCGTAAGTATTACAATGTGCTCCCCGCCCCATCCCTGCCCCCTCAAAGAAGGCAGAGCTGAACAGAAGGCTCCAGGAGACCACACATTATGAACTCCATAGCCTATTCTCCAGCCATGGTGGCAGCTTAAAAATCAGTGGTCCCAGGTGAAGAGAATACAGGCCAGACTTTCCTATACTTCTTTCCTCCTCCCTAGATCTCTCCCATCGCAGGTTCCTCTTTATATGCTCAAAATATTAATATAATAAACAACTAGTCTGTGAGGTTGGTTACATCAGTGGCTGGGTCTAGGAAAGGGAAAAGAGAGGAGGGGGAAGGGAGATTCACAGAGAAGGTCCCCAAGGGAATTACTCTAGGGTAGCTGCCTTGTTGGGTGGGGACTCATCCTGAGCCATCCTGAGAGGAGGAAAGGCTGGGGCTAGAAACTGGGGCAAGTGTGCCCCCACCTCCAATTACACAATGTCTAGGGAAGGAAAGTTGCAATCTGAGCATACTCAGGCTCCCCATAAAGAGAAAGGCCACCATCACCAGGTGCCCCAGTCATCAGGGAGGTCTCTGGTCCTGGCTGTGGGAGCACTAGGAGAGGAGATGACACAGAGACTGTGCCCGTAATGACATTCACCCGGCAGTTGCTCACTTCAGGTTCACAAAGGACTTTCACATTAACCATCTCCTTTGGTCCACACAATGGAGTAGGTAGACATCACTATGCCCATTTTGTAGGATGAAACTGAAGATCAGAAATGTTATATGACTTGCCCAGAAGACACTTCCATCTAGCTGCCCTTGCCCCTGTCTGTGCAGAAAGGGAGGCTGAAGAGGCAAAGGCTCCAGAACAGCCCCACACAGCCACTGCTCCTTTCCCAGTGGGCGCCATAGGCCCATTCCCCTGAGGCTGGTCCATGGCAACTGGAACTCTGGCAGGAGGGAGGGAAATCACAGTACCTGTGGTGAACTCAGCAGGCTTCTTAAAGCGGGTCAGGAAGATGTGGCAGAGGATGTACAGTGTTGCAAACAGAAGTGTTGAGATCTGTAGCAGAATGTGAGCTGGGATGAGAAGCTCTAACCTTTAGCACATTCCACAGCCAAGGGCCTCTCTGTTAATTCCATGGCCATTACTTCCTTAAGATAAGGCTCCATACTTCCAGGGGTTCCATCTGGAAGTATGTTCTGTTCTGATCCCCCAGGTACTTCCTTCTAGTCAGAGCCCCAGGGACCTCGAAGAAGGGCCAGACAGGGGCTGCCCCATGCACCTGGGGAAACAGCACCATGCCCAGCCCTACAAGGACTTCACTGGGAGAAAATAGCTTCAGCCCAACTCTGGTTGGTAAATGGGCAAAGAAAACTCCTAGAAATGCACAAGCACACATATTTCAAACCAGTTACAGAACCAGAGGGAATTTACTTGGAGCACATTATTGGATAGGGAAGCAGGTTTGAGGGGAGGAAGACGTCTGCATTGTCCTGGCACCCCATCACTACCCTACCCTCCTACCTCCACCCACACTGGTGCCTTGACCCAAAGTAGGTGTCATGTTTCTAGACGAAGTCACAACTTCTATTCCATGCTTATTCAGGGGCCTGAAAGATCAGGTCTGCTGGGCCAAACCAGAGCCTCATTTAATCCTCTACCCCTAACAGTGGGCTTTAGCTAGGGCCCAATATCTAGTGTTTCTAGAGCTGGCTAGACTGTCAAGTGACAGTGATGGCGGAACTCGGCCACGTTAATCTGCATATTCATTCCTACTCTATTCCAAGTAAGCTTCTACTGCCCAGAGGAGGAGCCATTGGCCAGCTTAGCTCTATAATCAAGAACAGAGAGTCTTGGCCAGGCACAGTGGCTCACGCCTGTAATCCCAGCACTTTGGGAGGCCAAGGCAGGTGAATCAATTGACATCAGGAGTTCGAGACCAGCCTGGCCAACATGGTGAAACCCTGTCTTTACTAAAAATACAAAAATTGGGCTGAGCGCGGTGGCTCACGCCTGTAATCCCAGTACTTTGGCAGGCCGAGGTAGGAGGATCATGAGGTCAGGAGTTCGAGACCAGCCTGACCAACACGGTGGAACCCCCCCCGTCTCTACTAAAAATACAAAAATTAGCTGGGTGTGGCGGTACGTGCCTATAATCCCAGCTACTTAGGAGGCTGAGGCAGGAGAATCACTTGAATTCAGTGGAGGTTGCAGTGAGCCGTGATCGCACCACTGCACTCTAGCCTGGGTGACAGAGCAAGACTCCGTCTCAAAAACAAACAAACAAACAAATTACAAAAATTGGCTGGGCGCAGTGGCTAATGCCTATAATCCCAGCACTTTTGGAGGCCAATGCGGGAGGATCACGTGGTCAAGAGATCGAGGCCATCCTGGCCAATATGGCGAAACCCCATCTCTACTAAAAATACAAAAATTAGCCAGGCGTGGTGGTATGCACCTGTAGTCTCAGCTACTCGAGAGGCTGAGGCAGGAGAATTGCTTGAACCCAGGAGGCAGAGGTTGCAGCGAGCCAAAATTGTGCCACTCTACTCCAGCCTGGCGACAGAGACTCAGTCTCAAAAAAAAAAAAAAAAAAAAAAAAAGGCTGTGTGTGGTGGCAGGTGCCTGTAATCCCACCTACTCGGGAGGCTGAGGCACAAGAATCACTAGAACCTGGGAGGTGGAGGTTGCAGTGAGCAAAGATCACGCCACTGCACTCCAGCCTGGGCAACAGAGTGAGACTAGGTCTCACAAAAAAAAAAAAAAAAAAAAAAAAAAAAGGCCAGAGAGTATCAAGAAAAGAAGTTATTGTGTTTGAGATATGCCAAGAAGACAGGATCAGTCTCATGGGTCTTCCAGTCTCCAGAAAGGGCTGACCCCACAGGGAATACACATACAGCTACCTATACAAGGAGGGAAGAATCCACAGAGACACAGGAGAGCCATCGATCCAGAACAAAGTCATAGCTTTTGACATTAGGGAAGCAGAATAGAAGGAGCCACTCAGATTGCAGCTGCAAGATTTTTATAGCCTGTGTTCTGCCCTGGGCTTGCATAATAGCCAGGAAGGTGGGAGGGCTCAAAAGGTCAGGCTGGAGTTCCACGCAGTTCCAAGAGGCTAGGTTGCGCTCCAGCCCCTGGATGAGAGCCAGGTGGGGGAGGCACCATAAATCTTCAGGCTACCCTTAGCCAGCACTGATGTTCTCAGCTCATGGGACTAAAGGATGGGGGAGACATCCAGGAGGCTGCTTCTGTCCAAGGTCTCATTCCTCCCTGTTCTCTAGGAATGTGAGCCTCCTGCCTGACACTGTCTCAAGACCTGGCTGTGCCTCTGCAATATGCCCAACCCACCATGTGGACTGTCCACCAAGAAACACACAAGGAACGCTTGCCGAAAGCAAACTTCTACTGGAGTTGCACACTCAGACTAATATACTTTTCTGTCCTCACAGATAAGAGCAGACCTAATTATGTCCTGGCTCAATTTACCCTACCTCCAATAGGCTGCCCAGGGCTGGCTAGAGCCCAGCCTGAGAAAAATGAAGGGAATGACCCCCACACTGGGTTCCCCCACTTACTAACATTTCTTTCTGTTTTCCCAAACCATTCCCTTTCCATTTACTATGTGGAGATGAGGGTTGCTCTGGGGAGCTCTGGGGAAGGAAACAGAGGAGAAAGGAGAGAGGTGAGAATTCAAAGCAAGGCTGAAGAAGATATGACTCCCTAAGCTCCACTGCGTACCCCTACCCCAGAATTGAGGAGTCCACTTCTCTGCGGCAGGTTCAGCTGTCGCTCTAAGTGGCAGGGATGGCCTAAGGAACAGCAGCCAGGTACCCTCTGAAGCCCTGGGAGGACGACTTACTGGGGAAACCCCGGAATGGCTGAGAGGCTGCGAACCCAGCCTTGCAGGGTTTCAAACAAACACTAATGAGAAAGAAGAAAGACGGGGGAATACCTGGATACTTGGTTGTTCCTCATCTCTACATATTAGGATCCACCCTAGTAAGACTCCTTTCTTCCAAAGCAGGAGATGACCCACCAAGTCCCCAGGTTCCTCCCGTCTGCCATCCCTACACCTCCCCTCTTTTCTGGAATCAAGCTCAGAGTGACGATTTCTCCCCTTCATCCAACGTCAGCTGGGTTTGCCCTCAACCCAGTTTGAGAAGCAAACCCATCCTTCCCCGATTATCAGACTAAGGCGGACTCCGCAGGCTCTCAGACGCGCTGGGTGAGGGGTGGGAGGGAGGGGCAGGGAGGGGCGTGTTGGGGAGGAACGGAAACGACGGCCTTTGTTTACCGCTCAGGGACCCAGCTGATCCCATCTAGGGGATCGCTAGCCGGGCACCCGCCCTTCTGCTAGGACGGAGGCCTCCGTCGCCCGCCGCTGGCCCAGGCATGGTTTGACGGCGCTCTGAGACCAGGTGGGCTCGGACCCCAACCTACCCCTCTCCCGCAACCCCCGCTTCTCCTCGCCGGGGCCCCGCACTCACAATGCACTCGCGGATCCTCTCGTGGAATAGCTGTTCTCGCACGGATAGCACTTCGCAGTCAGGTGCTTCCATACTCTGCTCAGCATGACTGGAGCTGGGGTGCCTCCGGGCCCGGGGAGGACAAGCGGGGAGGAAGCCGCCGCCGCCGAGCACCCGGACCCAGTCTAGGAGCCTTTCCTCGCAGCCTGCAACAGAAACTCGGGGCAGTCTGGGGCTCAGATACAGTCGTCCGGACGCCCCACCCTTAAAGGGGCAGGCACCACCCGCCTCGTTTTAAAGGGCTCTGTCCTTCCTTTGCTCCCTCCCCTTTAAGGTCGGGTCGCGCTCACGTTTCAACGCAAACACCCGCCACTAGGCTCGCTACGAGGAAGGGCCGCTGAGGTTCCATCTTTTTAAGAGAGCTGGTGACGACACAAGGGGTGGGCGGGTTCCTTCCATGGGGAGGAACTCATTGGCTCCTAGAGAGCTGCCGCTCATCGCTGGAGGAGCGGTGATAGGTTCGCCCTGTGGAGGAGGCGAGATCTTTTGGGCCTACCGCTGCTGATTCTAATTGAGCAACTGTCTCTCTCATCTGGGAAAAGTGACGGTTCCTGGATTTTAGTGGCAGCTAAGATTTTAATTTGACCTTGGTTAAATGAACCATTTGAATCAGGCCAGCCAGGCAGGATGTGAGGGCACCCTAGGGGTTCTGAAAGGTACCTCTGCCCAGTAACCGATGTTCTGCAGTAGCATTTTCTGTGTGTTTGTGTTGGGGTGCCCCTCCCCACACCCCCACCCCGGTTTCCCGCCGCCAGGGGTTTTCACTCAATCATTTTTGTGGAAGGCCTAGTGTGTGCTGGAACAAATACTGAAAAATACTGAAAAAGACTGTAGTCCTTCTGTAGAGGACTACAGAAATACCCTGCAACTTTGTGAAGAAATGCCCACAAGGATCATTGAAGAGTGGGGCTGAGTTAAACATTAGCTAACCACTTACTATGTGCCATTCACTGTATAGTCGTTATCTCAGCCATGTTACCCAGGCTGATCTCGAACTCCTACCCTCAAAGTGCTGGGACTCCCAAAGTGCTCGGATTACAAGACGTGACCCACCCAGCCTATTATCTCATTTTAAACATCACTACAACCTTTCAGAGGAAGATGTTGTGATTCAACTTTTATTTATTTATTTATTTATTTATTTATTTATTTATTTATTTATTTTTGAGATGGAGTTTCCCTCTTATTGCCCAGGCTGCAGTGCAATGGTGTGATTTCGGCTCACTGCAACCTCTGCCTCCCGGGTTCAAGCGATTCTCCTTCCTCAACCTCCCAAATAACTGGATTACAGGCATGCGCCACCACGCCGGCTAATTTTGTATTTTTAGTAGAGACGTGGTTTCTCCATGTTGGTCAGGCTGGTCTTGAACTCCCAACCTCAGTTGATGCGCCTGCCTTGGCATCCCAAAGTGTTGGGATTACAGGCGTGAGCCATCGCCTCCGGCCAAGATTTTGTGTGTGTGTGTGTGTGTATGTGTGTGTAGTTGAGTCTTGGAAGTAGACAGGATTTAGATGAAGGGAGTTTTTTTTTTTAAGTTATTTATTTTTGACACAGGGTCTCACTCTGTCGCCCAGACTGGTGTGCAGTGGTGCGATTACGGCTCACTGCAGCCTCCAACTCTCAGGCTCAAGTATTCTTCCCATCTCAGCCTCTTGAGCAGCTGGGATCACAGGCGGGCACCAGCACACTTAGCTGATTCTGCCATGTTGCTCAGACTGGTCTTGAACTCTGGACTCAAGCTGTCGGCCTGCCTTGACCTCCCAACGTACAGGGATTATAGGCGTGAGCCAACAGCCCTGACCTCCTCTAAATTCTTAAAGCAACATCCAGCTGCATAGTTCAGTGGGCAGTTAAAAATTGGCCATGAGGCTGGGCGCGGTGGCTCACGCCTGTAAGCCCAGCACTTTGGGAGGCAGAGACAGGTGGATTACCTGAAGTCAGGTGGCAAGACCAGCTCGATCAGGGAGACCCTAATCCAGCGGCACTACAGGAAATAAAGACACACACACACAGAGAAACATAGAGGTGTGAAGTGGGAAATCAGGGATCTCACAGCCTGGAGAGCTGAGAGCCCCCAAAAGAGATTTATCCATGTATTTATTAACAGCAAGTCAGTCATTAGCATTGTTTCTATAGATATTAGATTAACTAGAAGTATCCCTTATGGGAAACAAAGGGATGGGCCAAAATAAAGGGATGAGTTGGGCTAGTTATCTGCAGCAGGACCATGTTCTTAAGGCACAGATCACTCATGCTATTGTTTGTAATTTAAGAACGCCTTTAAGCGGTTTTCTGCCCTGGGTGGGCCAGATGTTCCTTGCCCTCATTCCACTTAACCCATAACCTTCCAGGGTGGGCGTTATGGCCATCATGAACGTGTCACAGTGCTGCAGAGATTTTGTTTATGGCCAGTTTTGGGGCCAGTTTATGGCCAGATTTTGGGGGGCCTGTTCCCAACAGTCAGGAGTTCAGGACCACCCTGGCCAACATGTGTGAAACCCCCTCTCTACTAAAAAATACAAAAATTAGCTGGGCATGGTGGTGGGCACCTGTAATCCCAGCTACTCAGGAGGCTGAGACAGGAGAATTGTTTGAACACGGGAGGAGGCTTCAGCGAGCTGAGATCTGCCATTGCACTCCCGCCTGGGCGACAAGATCGAAACTCCGTCTCAAAAAAGACTGGGTGTGGTGGCTCACGCCTGTGATCAAAGCACTTTGGGAGGCCGAGACTGGCGAATCACCTGAGGTCGGGAGTTCGAGACTAGCCTGACCAACATGGAGAAACTCGTCTCTACTAAAAATACAAAATTAGCTAGGCATGGTGGTGCATGACTGTAATCCCAGCTACTTGGGAGGCTGAAGCAGGAGAATCACTGGAACCCACGAATTGGAGGTTGCAGTGAGCTGAGATCATACCATTGCACTATAGCCTGGGCAACAAGAATGAAACTCTGTCTCTACAAAACAAAAAATTGTCCATATATGCATTGTTTCATAATATTTGTCCTCTTGAGTTGTTGTTATTTAAATATTTTGTATTGTTTAACTTTACCTTCATTTATGTCTTTCCTCTTTTCCTCCTGTCTTCTCCTCTTCAAGAATTAGAAACACATATTTGGCCTTTTTTTTTTTTGAGATGGAGTTTCGCTCTTGTTGCCCAGGCAGGAGTGCAATGGCGCGATCTTGGCTCACGGCAACCTCCGCCTCCCGGGTTCAAGCGATTCTCTTGCCTCAGCCTCCCAGAGTAGCTAGGATTACAGGCGAGCCACCACGACTGGCTAATTTTGTATTTTTAGTAGAGATGGGGTTTCTCCATGTTGGTCTGGCTGGTCTCCAACTCCTGACCTCAGGTGATCTGCCCGTCTCCGCCTCCCAAAGTGCTGTCATTACAGGCATGAGCCACCGCGCCAGGCCCATATTTGCCTTTTTTTTTTTTTTTTTTTTGAGACACGGACTCTCGCTCTGTCGCCCAGGCTGGAGTGCAGTGGCGCGATCTCGGTTCACTGCAAACTCCGCCTCCCGGGTTTACGCCATTCTCCTGCCTCAGACTCCCGAGTAGCTGGGACTACAGGTGCCCGCCACCAAGCCTGGCTAATTTTTTGTGTTTTTAGTACAGACGGGGTTTCACGGTGTTAGCCAGGATGGTCTCAATCTCCTGACCTTGTGATCTGCGCGCCTCGGCCTCCCAAAGTGTTGGGATTACAGGCATGAGCAACCACGCCCGGCCATATTTGGCTTCTGATTGACCCCACTCTTTTCTTCCCCAAAACTTAACCCAGTGCAGTTCTTGTAGTAAACACTTAAACAGGGCCGGGCGCGGTGGTTCACATAGGTAATCCCAGTACTTTGGGAGGCTGAGGCAAGTGGATCGCCTGAGGTCGGCAGTTTGAGATCAGCCTGACCAACGTGGAGGAACCCCGTCTCTACTAAAAATACGTTATTAGACGGTCGTAGTGGTGCATGCCTGTAATCCCAGCTACTCGGGAGGCTGAGGCAGGAGAATCGCTTCAACCCAGGAGGCAAAGCTTGCCGTGAGCCAAGATCGTGCCGTTGCACTCCAACCTGGGAGCTAAACTCCCTCTCAAAAAAAAAAAAAAAAAGACCAGCCTGGGTAACACATGACGACCCTATCTCTACAAAAAATTTATGAAATTAGCAAGACGTGGTGGCATGTCCCCGTAGTTCTAAGATACTCAGGAGGCTGAAGCAGGAGAATCACTTGAACGCAGGAAATCGAGGCTACAGTGAACTATCATGGCACCACTGCATTTCAGCCTGGGCGACAGAGTGAAACCCTGTTTTTATTTTGTAAAAAAAAATGGCCGGGCGCGGTGGCTCAAGCCTGTAATCCCAGCACTTTGGGAGGCCGAGACGGGCGGATCACGAGGTCAGGAAATCGAGACCATCCTGGCTAACACGGTGAAACCCCGTCTCTACTAAAAATACAAAAAAAAAAAATAAGCCGGGCGAGGTGGCGGGCGCCTGTAGTACCAGCTGCTCGGGAGGCTGAGGCAGGAGAATTGCGCGAACCCGGGAGGCGGAGCTTGCAGTGAGCAGAGATCTGGCCACTGCACTCCAGCCTGGGCGACAGAGCCAGACTCCGTCTCAAAAAAAAAATAAAAAATAAAAAAAATAAAAATAAATAAAAAAAATAAAAAAAAAAAGGAAAGAAAAGAAAAGAAAGAAGAAAGAAAACTTCCTGCCTAATCTAAGACTACTTTCAGGGTGATAGGGCGATTTTGTTCCCAGGACTTTCTGGGTCTTTGGAAAGAGCTTATTTAGCTATTTAGCTAACTCTTTTTTTTTTTTCCTCTCTGTCACCTAGGCTAGAGTGCAGCGGCTCGATCTCTTGTAACCTCCACCACCCGGGTTCAAGCAATTCTCCTGCCTCAGCCTCCCGAGTAACTGGGATTACAGGTGCCCACCACCATG